TATATATATATATATATATATATATATATATATATATATATATATATATATAAGTTAGGAATCAGACACGTGTACGCCAGCGGAAAATAAAAATTGTATGCGATTAACACAAATTAAAAACACATAAACACACGCCCGATAATAGAAACAATTAATTGCGTACCTTTGCGCTTCCAGCGAAATTAAAAAACAACATACATGCTAAATTACTTAATCGAAATTAAATCAACTAGCATGCTCGCGTTTAAGTCAAATAACATGCTCATAGTAAATAAACAATTTCATGTAGTCACATAAAATCATACAATTATTTTACATAAACAAACATGCATATTATAATTTAAACGTAACCGAATCTAACGACGATAGATTCGAAAGTTTACCTCTTGAAGCGTGAGGTAGACGTACTAAGTACGTGGCACTAGATGTTAGAGTAGGTGACCAACAAGCCAACATGTGGCTGTGGTCTTTCGTATTTATTATTGTTATAAACGAACCTTTATTCGTATTAATGATAAAACACATTGGCATTCTATATCTTTGTCCCTTTGTCACAAGCATAGATATTCCTTACAGTTATTACATGTACTAGTAATTGATCGTTAGGATCGTGAGATATTTACTTAAGTATTATAACTGTTAAACGTGTTCCTACTCGAAGGATTACGCCACCAATGAGGATATCGGCCTTTCCCATTAAGAGAATAGCACTTAGTGTATGTGTACTGCATCTCATCAGTAAACGGTATTGTGATATCGGCATGCATAAGTGGGTGCTCGTAAGTTGACGAGTTCACTGAACTCCCTCACCCTAGAAATCTCTAAGTGGTTCCCAATAATCGAGTGGAGATATAGTTGTACACCATTAGTCCTTATGACCTAGACATCACCATGACTTCACTAGAGGACCAGCTGTATCGTGACCTGTCCCTGAGTTCCACCGAGGACAGCCCCAAGTGCTAGTGTTCGTGTAGTCCGAAATCGAGTGGGAGGTCTGTGCATTGTAGTCGGGGATTCGATCGCTAGAATAGTCTTGGATGTCCTGTGTAATTAATTAGAGAACCAACAAAAATATTTGAAATTTTGCTATTCAAACATGTTTCTAACTTTTCAGAAATTGCAAAATGGCTCATAAAGTGTCCGACATGTGTCATCGGGTGTCGGATACGAAACATGTCCGAAACGCGCTGGTACGTTAAGAAGTCGAAGTTTCTGCGCTACATAGTCTATATAACATGTATACATTTTGTAATAACGTATTTGAATTTACAATAATTCTTTTATTAAAAATGTATGAATATTATTTAATATAAGCTACTTCTGAAATAAATTGTCAGTAAGGTTTTTTGTTTCTGCTCCCATAATCTTTGCAATCAGTATTCTAAAAATCAGTCGAGACGGCCGAATAATCGGTCTCTGAGGTGAAGGCGGGTCAAAAACTATACAATTTTGATGT